GTCATTAAAAAGACAGGAAAAAAAGAAAAGGCCAAAATGATGCCAAAAAAGACTCTGGAACTTGCTCTTAAATACAGGATAGCTAAAATGAATGGAAGAAATGATGCCATAAAAGAGCCGAACAGAAGATTTCAAAGGATGGCTTGAGAAGCCAAAGTAAAGTATTATAATGAAATGTGCAGACCCAAAGTTAGAAAAGCAAAATGGAAGAAAATGCTTGGGATTTCTCAAACCGAAAGAACAAAAAAAAATTTCAAGACTCGAGTTGCAATACTGAAGGATTCTATGGGCAAAGTACTGAACAACACAAGAAGCATCAAAAGAAGAGGGAAGGAATGGACAGAGTCACTGTACCAAAAAGAACTGGCTGATGTTCAACCATTTCAGGAGGTGGCATATGATAAAGAACCAATGGTATTGAAGGAAGAAGTCCAAGCTGCATTGAAGACATTGGTGATAAACATGGTTTCAAGAATTGACAAAATTCTAACTGAGATTTTTCAACAAACTAGAGGTGCTTACTTGTTTAGGCCAAGAAATCTGGAGGACAGGTACCTGCCAACTGACTGGAAGAGATCAATATTTGTGCCCATTCCAAAGAAAGATGATATAACAAAATGAAAAAATTGTTGAATAATATGATTAATATCACATGCAAGGAAAATTTTGAATTCAAAAATAGATACAACAGTATATTGACTGGGAACTTCCAGAAATTCCAGCCAGATTCAAAAGAGGACTTAGAATGAGGGATGTAAGATGGATCTTGGCTGAAAGCAGAGAATACCAGAAAGAAGTTTATCTGTTTTGTTGACTAAGCAAAAGCATTTGACTGTGTGGATCATAACAAATTATAGATAACATTGCAAAGAATGGTAATTCCAGAACACTTAATTGTGCTCATGCAAACCTGTACAGAGACCAAGAGGCAGCTGCCTGAACAGAACAAGAGGATACTGCATGGTTTAAAATCAGGAAAGGTGCGTGTCAGGGCTGTATCCTTTCACCATTCTTATTCAATCTGTGTGCTGAGCAAACAATCCAAGAAGCTGAACTATATGAAAAAGAATGCAGCATCACAGCATTGGAGGAAGACTCAGTAACAACCTGCGATACGTAGATGACACAATCTTGTTTGCTGAAAGCAAAAAAGACTTGAAGTACTTCACTGATGAAGATCAAAGACTACAGTCTGCAGTATAAATTATACCTAAGCATTAAGAAAACAAAAATT